GGGGGGCGCCCGGGCCGCCCCGCTGCCCCCGTCTCCCCTCGTCGTCCCCGGCGCCACCAGCAGTTGTCCTCCGATTCGCCCCTGCACCGCCAGGCTCCGATCTGGAGGTCCCAAGCCCGCGTTTGCCGTGACTGGGGAAGCTGCAACCGGTTCTGTCCGCCACGGCGGGGTGCGAGGCCCCGACGGCTCTAACGATCGCGGTGGCTCCCGGGGCAGGGCTGCAGCCCCTACGCAGCGGCGGCTGCAGGGAGCGGGGTTTCCTTCCAAACACTCCTGGTGCACGCTCACTGTTGCCGTATTTTCACAAAGCCTCGTGGCTTGAAAACACACACTTTAAAATTTATACAAAAGAGTTAGTTTTATTAAACCACCTGATTACAAAAATAAATGGAATGGAAGAAAAATAAAACAAAAAAACATATGCCAAAATTCACATCCTAAGCAACGAGAGGTGACAGCAGGACGCTTGGGGAGGCTCGGCTCCGCCCCCCCGGAAGGCGCCCGCGGCTCTGCGCTGGCCGCAACACCGAGCTGCGCCGGCCACGCTCCCGCTCCGCTGCACCCCCCTTTCAGCTGCGCGGGTTCGAGTCAACGCGGAACAACCGCAAAGAGAAAGGGCAGAAGACGATGCGCCGAGCTGGTGAACAGCTGCAGGCACAGCACCAGATGTGCTGCTGTTGGAACGAAACCGCGAGAGTAACCGAGCATCCCCCGCTGCTCCGAACACCCCAGTCATCTCAAGGTTTTTTATTAGACAAAACTATTAGCCAGCGCAAGTGCTGGCTTCGCGTTAGCTCAGGCTAGGTTACTAGAAAGTTTCTGCGTAAACGCTGAAAAAGGCATCGGACTAACTAGAGCGTGTCGCTGCTTCTATCTGCGGCCTGGGGCAAGTGGCACCATCGATACCTCAGTCCGATTCCTCAGTTTGCCCCTTTCAAAAGGGGGAATGCTGCTCGCCGGTGAGGGTCTCCTGAGAGCCTCCTCCCAAACGACTGCGAGCAAGAAGTTCAAGTTTGTGAAGAACTCCGACAGCAAAGACTGCTAGGTAGAAAAATACAAGATTCTTACACATAACGGAGGTTGTCAGATGCCATCCTGAGAGAGCTGTAAAGCAGCCAGAATGCCAATAACCTTGGGAAGCAGGGTAAAATCCCCAAAACACTCACTGCCCCCACATGTGGCTCAAGTTTATCCCAAACAAATTCAATTCCCACCACTCCAGCATGTACTTATTGAGGTTCACATGGAAACAAACTCAATTTCTAATGAACTCTACATGTAACTGTCATGTAAAAGCAAACCTAACTCTAACTTGTTAGTACAATCAACTTTGTAGTTACTTATCACGGTCTCTCAAGGGAGAGGAACGCTCATGGCAATGTCCCGGGGGCGGTGAAAGCACTGTGGCTATCCAGTGAGCAAAAACCTGCAAATACGGCTCCAGCGTCTTCTCCCGACAGCGGGAGACGCTTGCTCAGTACAGCAGGAGGAAGACTTCCAGCAGCACAGCGCCGCCAGGACGACTGCGTTCAGCAGCGGAGGATCCTCTTCAGGAGTGCTCCGTGGGGCCTGCCCCGTGGCCGTTCACGTGAGGGTGCGATGGGGTTGAGCTCTGGGAGGTAGCAACGCTCTGCTCTGCCGTGGCAGCTGTCAGAGGCATGGAGAGGCTTTCGGGGGACAGCGTGGAAAAGTCTTGTCTCCAGTAGGCTTCGCACAGTGGAAGATCATTGCCGTCACACAGACTGTAGCTTTCCAGAACAAACAACCCCAGTAAGGAGAGAGAGCAGGTGCGATAAGAGAGGAGGGGAGGGAGGGAAGGGGTGGGGGGAGCAAGACAGAAGCAAAGCATTAAGAAAACGGCAAAAAAACGTTCATGGGTGCAAGGTCTGTGTTCCCAAACTCATCACAAGTCTTGTGACATTGGCCATCCCTAAGACACTCCTTAAGGGCTGGTCTTGAACCTCGCAGGCCTGGGGAGGAGCAGGGGGATTTCAGAGACAGAACTGTTGCTACAAACAAAGGCTCAGTTCTAATCGTAAGTCCGTGAAAAGATTTGGGCTGAAGTCCCGGCACCCCAAATATGGGAGTTCTCCTACTGATTTGAGTGAGACAAGGACCTCATCCATAATTATTTTACTTGGAATTAGAGCACAACCTATGTAAGGAAAAAACTATAAATCCTGTTCTAAATTTCAGTTCAATTGTTTTAGGGCCTGTCCCTGTCATGGTAAAGAAGAAACCTATTTGCACCCTTGCCCTTTCAAAAAAGTGCTCCACAGAAGGTCTGGGGCTTCTATTGAAGCTCCCCAGCCTGGCTATGAAGTACTGACGGCTCCTACCGTTTCTGGCAGAACCTAACAGTTCAGAGCTAACAGTTCTTCGAACAGCAGCTTGCTGGATTTGACCACTGCAGACTATAGAGCTGGATGAACCAGCCGTGTGGGAGAGTAATATTTTTAAACAATTGGCTAATTCTTGCCTGTGCTCTGAGGAAAACGCAATGTGGAAGGGCCAAAACTAAAAAGAAAAATGATGGGAGAAACTGGAACAAAACCAAAACAAATTCCAAAGAGAGGAAGGAGCTGCACACACAAGAGACGTCCAAGACAAAGTGAGTGCTGGAGCGGAGAGCGGCTTGCGTTCAGAGTAAAACAAACCCAATGGGTCAAGTGATTTTGTTGTTGCAGCTTTATTTACATTTTTAATGTATGGACTCGAATAGATGCTTAGGGAAATATTTTAAGTGCAGAAATATGAGACACTTCAATTGCACAAACAGGAAACACGTTGAGATCTGACCCCACACTCAAGACAGCTCCTGTGATCTCAGAGGAGGGAGCAATGGAACATAAATGCAAGTTTGGGGTTTAGGATGAGAGAAGGCAAGCTGGACTTGGAGTTACCGCTTTGGGGAATAAGCGCACAAAGCACTAGTTGCAAGCCTCTACTTCTGAGCTCTTTTCTGGCAGCAGCACCCAGCCGGTTTTGCAGAAGAAGTGAGAAGGCAGCGGATACAGGTTTTATATCTGGGGCCTTTGTAAAATCCCTTGGAAGATCACTTCCCTACAGTCCCCAACACACAGTGAAGCTGGGTTCAATTAGCAAAGACCTTCAGGACCAAACCAGAACTACGACTCCTTTTCTGTCAGTCTTAGACCTCGGGCCATGGTTTCCAAGGAGAACCCGGCCACAGCATCCACCACGTCTTGGCAGGGGAGTTACTAACAAAATTTTACCTGCCTCAGAAGCAGCACTGCTTCTCCTGCTGCCCCAGTGAAGAACAGTTCCAAAAATCTAGGCTTTGCCTCTCAAGTAACACTCCTCAAAAGTCAGGGTGAATGAGCAGCTACTGCACAGCCCACAACAGGACTGGCCAGCCTGCTACTCTGTCCTTTGACTGAGCGTTTCTCAGTGCGCATAAGGGACTTCACTGCTGTCCTCGGGGCAGGCAGTCAGGTCTTCGCACAGAGGAGCAGCTCTAGGAAACTACTTAACACAGAGACTGAAAGCAAAGATTCCTTCAGAACAATCTACTCGGCTTTAGTTTCAAGGACCTGCTTTCAGGTCTCCTCATCTAAACCCTGTGTACACATAAAAAGCCTAGCAACAAAACCCAACCCCACAGCTGAGGCGCATCCTATTAGTTACTCGCTATGGCAAGGGGCTGACTCCTAAGCCCCTTTAGCACAATGCAGTGGCAACTGCTGGGCCGGAGACACCCCCTGTCACTGCCTTTCCACAGCCATCGGGAGCGGCACACAGGGACCAAAGAAGCTACACAGCACGGGGCAGCTCTCAGCTTTGCAGCAACCAGAGGTGTGCTGCTGCAGGGAGCTCACTGTTCTACAGCCTTCCCTGGAGGGATGACCTAAAATCAACTAACCACTGACCTTCAGGGAAACTGGAGCATGGGGGAGCAGTTTAGCAGGATGGCTGCATGGAACCCGTGTCCTGGCCTCACGGGACTGCACACCGCTTTATAAATCCTGTGGGATCAAGGCCCACGAGAAAGTAGCAGATGGTGCAGAGAGGCAGCCCCAGCTGGGCTCACAGGACAGCAGAGAATGCCTGTTTGTGGGCAAACCGGCTATTGCATTTACAGCCATTTAAACATGATTATCACTCTACGACTATGTGACATAACAGAAACCTTTTCCCCCACATTAGACAATAAGGTTTCATTAAAAATATCTTAGTACTCTAATTATAAAAGGACTTTGAATAAATCACTGTTTTTATATTTACACACACGCAGTTTCTTTGGTGCAGAAAAAGACAGGAAAGAGCACAGGAAGGGAATAAAGGCAAACAACTAAGTGCTACATGACATGAGGCTTCAGTGGAGGGATCAGCTCTGTAGAGCTGCCAAGTTTCCTCACCTCGTGATTGCTCTTGTAAGAAAGAGCGCGAAGGCAAATTCATTTGGTGTATGCCAACGTTTGTGCTCAGATGTTAGTTCTGTTACGAAGGGTTGCTTTACGTGGCATCTGGTGCCAGGCGGGTGAACAGACCACGCCAGCATGGTCAGAACCCCTTAGTCCAGAAGTTAAAGCTACTGACGCACAGCAGTGGCACTCTGGTGACAGTGAGAGAAGCATGCCTGGCACACGAGGCACTATCATCCCACACCGCATCGCTTTGGATACAGCTCAGTATT